CCAACGAATGAATGGATCCGTGTCAAACGGAATCGTTCGACACTTGAGGAGCACATTCACAAGCGTCGCGCAATGTCAGCGCAGGCACGGGCTCAAGTCCAAGAAGCCTGTAGAAGACTGCAGAAGGAAGTGGCCAAAAAGCCGCCACCAACCCGCCAAGTCTGGAGGCCGAAGTCTGAAGCGGTAATTCAGGCTAAAGAGGAACCTTTGCAGCCTTCAGCAAAAGTTCAACCTCCGGCGAACCAACCTAAATCGCCAACAATTCCCATGGCTACTCCGGGAGATCACGCAGAATCATCCCGAAGAAAGAAGTCAGTTTTGGAGCGCCTCGGTCCACTTCCCGATGAGCGATGCAAAGCTCCGGTTCAAGAACGTTTGGGTCCGATGAAGAAGCCCCGAACGACGCAACATGCTGGGAGTCGCCGTCACCCTCAGCATGACAAAGAGATCATGGCAGCTAGGCGCACTAGTTTGCGCATTGAAGTCCAGGAGCCAGCTGAGAATTCACACCCAAAAAGGCATGTTTCGAGGCGCGTGACTCTTGAAAGCCCAAAGAAGGTAATTCGCCCTCAGAAGGAAACATTATCGTCTGATGACGGTAGCGTTATACCTGAGAAGTCGTGCCAACACACGATAGGTTACTCCGACCTTCAAACCGACGAGTTGTACTATCGTGTTGGGGGTACGAGTAAAACCAGAAAAAGGAGTCCTCGAGAACTAGAAACTCAATGCCCTTGTTCCAAACTCATTCGGGCAGTATTGTCGGAGTGCAACTGCACCAATACAGTCCCCGAAAGAATTTCTGTTTTTGAAAGGCTCAGTACCGAAACGCCAAAACCAAGGGCTAGGCGTTTCCGACGAAGGAGAATGGTGGTTGAAGATGGAGAATTTCCGAGGGTCACCACAAACATGACCAGCAAGGGGACATCGGCACGGGATAATCCCAAGTCGATTCCGGAAGCATCCCGGTGTATAACACGTCTGCAGTCTGGAGCCATCAAACGAGAAACTTATGGCAGGGTTCGGACAAGATTACCTTCAGAAGATGAAGACTCGGATGCCGGCTCTGCAGTCGCATCAGATAATACGGTATCTAGCGAGGGACAATCCCACGAGGCACTTATGATAAGTGTGGAACAAGTGGCCAAGGTGCTTGAAGAAGCCATGGCTAAACAACAGGAGAGCTTCAGGTTCGAAATGCAGATGGCCATGCAGAATATGAGAGAAATGCATGACCAACAGATCCAAGCACTGACAAACCAACAAGGCGAACCAAGTCGTCCTAACCAGGTTCATCAGGAAGAGGAGGATACAAATGCAAATGAAACTCATAATTCCAATAATCCTCCCGTTAATGCAGGGGGTGGTAATGAGAATGCTAGCGAAAACACAGGTGAAAGCTTGAAGTTTAAAAACCTCGAGAGCAAAATCAATACATTGATTTCCGCTCAAGAGATGAAGAAGACGGGCATTCCTTGTCCATACCCAAGAGAATGGGAATCAATCCCGTATCCGACGAAGTTCAATCTAATTAACTTCACAAGTATTTGATTTACTTCAAATCACACCTAGGGGTTATCTCTGGTAATGAGCCTCTGATGGTACGGTCTTTCGTTGGCACTCTTCGTGGAGCCGCCTTCGATTGGTATCGCCGCCTCAAGCCAGGAAGCGTGAATAGCTGGGACGACATGGAGACTAAGTTCCTTGCTAACTTCTTCGACGATGACACCGAGATATCCATCGGGTCGTTGCTTGACGAAAAACAAAAAGATGGGGAATTGGTTGATACCTTCGTCAAAAGGTTTCGGAACAAGGCGATGAACTATCGGGACCCGATCACCGAGGAGTTCATTCTCCAGACTTGCCACAACAACCTCGCATTAGACGTGTTGGAAGCAATGGGGACAGCTCCATCCAAAACATGGAAGGATTTGAAGGTTCGAGGAGAGCAAGCCGAGCGATTCCTCAGAAGGAAGAAGGCGGAAAGAGGCCAGCAGGTGACGAATGCTCGACAGCAGAATTTCGTCCCACGAGGGAAAGGTAAGGCACATGCTAATGCAGTTGATGCTAATCAAACTTTCCAATTGCAACCTCAGCAACAGCAGCAGCAACGAGCACCACAACAATCGCAGTCGCAATGGCAACAACGGCCTCAGAAGCAGAAATCTTCAGAGCCAAGGTTTCCTAAAGTGTACTCCTTCAAAGATGACGAAGTTCCCGGCATCTTTAAGTACCTGTTGGAGAATAACAAAATCCAGCTACCGGCGATTGTGGATCAAGAAGGGGATAGCAATGTGACGGATCCGAAGTATTGCGCATACCATAGAGCGGTCCATCATCCTACAAAGTCATGCTACCATCTCAAGGATAAGATCCATCATCCGAAGAAGAACAATAAGTCTTTGCCACTAGAAGCGGAAATCAGTATCATTTCAACTATCCATCACCTAGTGATCAGTTAGCTGAGCAGGGGGTGACTAAACGGGGACCAGCCAAAACTCTCACGGAGCTGGGTGTGATTACGACTCCTAGACCGGTTGAAGAAGCTCGACGACAGCCGGTTGATAAACAGAAAGAAAAGAGGCCCCAGGAAGTTCAAAATCCGAACCAGTCTCGTTTCAACCGTCCAACTGGAAGAGATAAACCGGAAAGCTCGAACACTCCGCACGTCTTCGTTATTATGGCTCAACTGGCTAACATTCCAGCGCGGATAACATTGTATGAGTTGCTACGGTTGTCCAAAGAAACAAGGGAAGCCTTGCAAGAAGCCTTGGCCAATTCAGAAGTGTTCCTTACTCAGATCAAGCCGGCACTTGAAGGGCCAGAACCATTGATTCAACACTGCAATATAGTGGCTAAAAACCTTCCCTGCATCACCTTCACCAAAGAGGACATGCAGACAAAGAATTCAAACCATGATCGACCCCTATATTTCGTTGGGTACATTGGCTCCAGCAAGGTCAACCGAATCCAAGTCGATCCGGGTTCCGCTGTGAGTATTATGCCGCTTCGCTTGATGCATAGCCTCCAGTTAGTAAGTTGGTATCCACGGGCACTGTTATCTATGGATTCAATACTAGCGGGTCAAGACCCTTGGGTAAGATCCAGATAAAATGTCAGATGGGTGATTTGAAGATGGAAGTCACATGTTATGTGATCGATGCCGAGACTTCGTATAACTTACTATTGGGTATGAGAATTATTTCACTGATTCTCTCCTTTATGGTAACGAATCCGA